TATTGTCTTACTAATTCAATTCAACAAGTGTTTGTTGAAAGCTAATAAACAGAATTTAAAGTTTTACTTTGAAAAGACTTTATTTCTGTATTTTGTTCAAACCAATACAATCTTTTGGTAACAAACTAATAAATAAGTCTTTTAAGTGACTACAGTCATGTTAACTTAACATAAAGATGTGCTTTTTACTTTGCAAAGAGCTTTCTCATGTTATATACTGGTACTTTTTGATAATTATAAGTCACTTTATTAGAATCTTTTGTCTATTGATCCTTTGGGTTTCTTTAGTTCTGTCCAACTGGATAATTTATGCCAATCTCATTCAAGCAGTAGGGGCAGATAAGACTATAGAGTCCTACTCACCCAAAGCTTAGCCATCTCATATACTGCTTTCTAAGGAAATCAATCTAACACATATTGCCTTATCTACAAATACTACACAGTACTTTGTATACCTGTCTTCTATTGGTAAAAAAAAAACAAGTTTAAAAATCTAAAAAGATCCAAACATATACCTATGAGGCATAGTGACATAGTAAATTAGGAATCAAAAAGGTCTTATAACCTATATTTTTTCTTTCCTTCCGTATTCTATGTATCAAAAAGGTCTAACAGCCCAATTCTTCCCCTACAAACCTGACAGGATTGTAAATTCCTCCCAATTATTACTTCCTAAAGATATAACTCCTAATGCCCCTTCCTTCTGCCTGTTCCCATTTGGATTAGTTGCTTTCTAGGTCTGCAGCACATGTGACTACCTAGGGCTTTCCTTCCCTATAACCGTGGGAATTTCTTCACCTCTCTCCTATGTTGGAGTCCTTGTATCCTGGGTTCTGTATCTTCCTCTTTCTTGATTTCATCTCTCATTCTGGGGAAATATATCCTTCAGTAACTTTCTGAGAAAGTATATAAAACAGGTAAATATTTTCAGACCCTGTATATCTCAAAATGGATTTACTTTACTCTTCACACTTGAATGAAAAGTTTGACTGGACATAAAATTCTAAGTTAAAAATCACTGTGCAAAATTTTGAAGTTATTACTCATTATCTTCTTGCTTTTTTAAGGTGGAAAGTCTAAGGCTATTCAGATCCCTGTAACTAAATTATGATTCCACCCTCCCACCCCTACTCCAGACCAAGAAGCTTTTAGGATTTTTCTTTATTCCTAGTGTTCTTAAATTTTATAATCATTTGCCATCAAAGTCTTTTTATTATATTAAGCTGGTCCTTTTCATTATGAAAACTCATATCCTTCAGTTCTGGAAATTTTTCTTCTAATATTTCTTTGAGAATTTCCTTCTTTATTCTGTTTCTAAAATCATGCTAGGTAGATATTGAGCTTCCTTGATTGAACTTCTAATTTGTCTTGCTTTCTGTCTACTTTATTGTCTTTTGTTTCACTATCTGGCCTACTTCAATTTTATCTTCCAACTTGTCTAATTTTTTAGTAGTCTGATTACACTTTAAATCTCAAGAGCTCTTTCTCATTATCTTTGTATTTTGGGGGGTTTTTTGTTTGTTTTTGTGTGTTTTGGTTTTTTTTTTATTGCATCCTACTCTCTTTTAATGGATCCAAAATCTCTGGAAATGTTAAACTTGATAATTTTTGAAGTTTTCGCCGGTGACTTGCATTGTTTTCTTTCCTCTGATTTCTTTTGTTCTGGGCTCTGTGTTTTATGTGAAAAGATTTTCTCAAAAGACCAGTGATCTCTGGCTGACTGCTAATATTAAAAGTAAAGGACTAAAAAACAAACTAGTAACAGTAACCCAGATTTTCTGATTATCAGTTCAAAGTTCAGTTTAAGCATATTATGATACCATTGTCTCCCAAATTTTGAAGACAAGCCAAATTACTTATTTACAGCCATAGAAAAATTGTATAGACTATTCCCAGAGTCTGCAAAATATACTAATATGTATATTTAATATATAATATTTAGTATTTCTTAAACCTAACATGGAAAAATCAATACATAGACTAATTAATGAAGACTTTTAACAACTCTCATCATGCCACAATTCTCCATCCTTAAACTTCCCCAAATCTGCTCATATAACAGTAAGTTTTGGTTTGCCAATAATTTATTTAACAAATCTTTAATGATACAAAAACACATAGTCAGTGAAATTAAAACATTTCCTACAAAACCACTGTGCAGATTTTAAAATCAAACCTAAAAAACTTCAAAAACTCTCAGAAACCACTCTTGTTATCTGAGAGCCTGCAACCTTGTTGCTTTATTTTCAAGTTCAGAGAGGTGGACAATGCATTTATAGCACAAAAATTCAAGTTTTTCCAATCCTTAAAACAGAGAACACTATTCAAGTAAAAAGGAAAAGCCATTGTAAAATTACAGGCTCAAAATGGAATTTATCCCACGATAAAGCCTAAAGAAAACCCTTTCCAAAATGGAATTTAGGGTGATTCAACAGGTCCATGAAAAATTTAAATATCTATTCTGGTGTAAGGTAGTTCTTTTATTAAAGTGGAGCATTTGTCTTTTTGTAATTGCTTTTCTGCTCTAAGGGGTAAAAAATACACCTTCACTGAAATAAATCACTATATAAAAACCACACAACTAATTTACAAATACAACAATTAGTATGATCTTATTTTAAAATGTGTTATGAAATAATTTTGACACAATCACCAAAAGCTCATGCTGCCTCATATATCAGTCATATACCATATAAAGTTAAACGTGCTGTATTGCCAAAGCCCAAGGTAATTGGAGTCTAAAAATATACTTTTTTCTCATTCTGAACTAGTCAGATTGGTATTTAACCCAAACATCATCGAATGTTGCATTAAAAATGGCAGAAAAACAAGATTACTTAAATACAAACTCTCCAAATGTATCCCATAGAAACTGCCCCCTGCCACAGAAGACTGAATCCAAGCATATCCCCCTTTCACCAACATACACACATACACACACGAAAATAAAAATAAAACAGCCACACAGACAATAAATGTGAAAATAGAACTGATACCTGGAAGAAACTATAGAATTCATACAGACAGTCCAATGAAGACAAGATAAACTAAAAAAACATCTGACATTAAGTATCATTGGCAAGGGTAGATTAGGAGCTTTATTTTTCTTTAAATTACTCAATCTACTTAGTTTCTACTTCAGTTTTAGACTAAGACACTGATAAAGTTTCTAATGTGAAAAAAACAATACCTCTATGACATCTAAATTTGGTATTAGAACAAAAATGTAAAAATCTATTAACAAAGACTCTTATTAAAAGAGTTCTTTCCAGTCACTAAAAACCAACTTGATTAGCCATTTCCAGAAAGTTAAGCAGAAATTTTATTTTTTTTCCATTCTCACAAGATGGAACCCTATTGAAGGGAAAGATTAAAAGGACTCTCAGCCCACCAAAAAGTAAAATCTACTCAGAGTCTTTAAAATTCCCATATTTGCTTAACGAAAAATTCTCAAGCTAACTCTGCAAATTTGAACAGATTAAATTCTCCAGCATACATGAAAAAAATTTTTTAGAACTGTGCTACTTAAAGAAGAATGTGCACAACTGCTTTTTTGGAATTCAAAAGAAAAGGTTTTCCACTTGACCTGGCAATTTAAAGACTTTGCTAATTTAACCTGCAATTTCAATATGAATTCTAAATTTTGAAACAACTTAGAATCAAATTTTCCAATATACAATATAAAGAGCAAGCAAGTTTTAGGGAAGTACTCAGAATCTTAAGTTTAAATTTTATATATTATTTAATCACTAAAATAATTTAAATAGAACACATTTAAGTTAAAATTAAATCAATATCTAAAACCTAAAATCATAAAGCTGCCCTTTATTTTAAAAGGGGTAGGAACTTTCCTCATATTATGATGGAAAACCAAAGCATTATCTGCCTATATTATAAATATCTATGTCCTTTTTTAGATTCAAAAATCTACTTTCACTTATGTACCTTGGGTTTCTTCCATCTTCCATCTCACTAAACATCACTATAGCATTCAGATTACAACTTCTAGCCAAAGTCAAAGATCACATAAGTTCCCTGAAGGCTTCCAAAACATTAAAATCAGCAGATAAGTCAAGGAATACTCATTTCTGGAGCTGCTGGGAAACCCTTCTCTCCTTTCAGAAAATAAACCTCTTGCTATAAAGATAATCATCTAAGAACAAAACATCACTACTACATACAAATACATAGCATTCTCAATTAATAATTCTATACAATAATAAAATCCTACAGATTTGGCTAGTACTTTGGCTTAAAAAGAAAAGAAAAAGACTATTAAGAAAGTAACTGTATCCAAAGGATTACAGCAGTAAAAGAGACATAGACAATCAGAATTTCTCCTCTTATGCAAATGTGGCCTCCTTAACACTAACTAAAAGAATGCTTTAAAAAAGAATTAGTTGCTACTTTAGTAGTTGATTCCATTTAACCACAAAGAGAACATCTCAATTAATCCTCTTCTATTTTAAAAATGAACTAGTTAAATGTACATTTTACTGTAAAAGTGAAATCTAACTCAATTCAAATATTCTCAATACACATATACACAAAGGCATGTGCAAAAATACTGTAATCACTTTCAATGCACACATTTCTTTAGATCTCTCTTAAACATGACACAAAAAGTAGCTCAGTTCTTCATAAATTGTCTAGTATTTGACTGCACTTTTGCATCACTTTCATTGCAAAATTCTAAAATTAGTAGTTAGGTGTCCACATTATTCACTGTATTGAGAATTCTCTCAAGAGAATAAGACATAAAACATTTGGATATCTAAATGACAGTGCTGAAACTTGCAGTGTTATACGTAGGCATACATAAACAAAATTTTAAAACCCTGTTAATTCATCACCGTATTCTAATATTTGCTGTTAAAAGAAATCAATTGCATATGAAGCCCAAACAACTGGAATGAACCCAGAAGAGCCACAAGAAAATGATGGTATTTTAAAATGGTGACGCTTTTCACACCCATGTTTAGTCATGCCAGCCGGAGAGGTGTGAGATATGACTTTATTCATTTTAAATCTGAGAATTTCAGTCATTTCCATGGCATTACAAAAATTGGAACCAAGAGCAATTTATCTTCATGGTCCTGATTCTTCTGATTTAAAAGCACTTTTAAAGAAAAATCATTTCTGCAAACTTAGGTTTTTTTGGATGGATTGTTTCCCATTGCTCAGAGTCAAATTATTTTGTCCCAGATTTTCTAGTGAACAAGGGATACAAAGATAGAAAAAGGGACCCCCCTTTGCCCCCTCCCCACACACACATACAATGACCCAATATCTGAACCTCTTTAGACATGGCATCCATTAAGAGGGCCTTTGCTCCTAACTGTGTAAGGGTCCTTAGCTATGACCTGACTTGCACAAGAAGTACACATGGCCCCGGAGAGGCGCTTTAGTCCCCTTTGGAAGACACTGTTGGAGAGACTATAAATGACACAGTTGCAGAAACTGTTACTAATGGCAAGCCAGGTGGTCAAGAAGGATGCGAAGCGGTTGCTGTGGCCAGTGGAGCTCTCCAACAAGAAGTAGACGATGTATGGCAACCAGAGGATGTAAAACACACTAGTAATCCGGAACAGAACCATGGCATAGCGCTTGTCCGGACAGGCCTGCATCTCCCCAGTCTCCCCACTCTGGCTGCTGAAGCGAGCTTGCCTTTCGCTGATTTCCTTTGTGTGCTGTTGGCAGATGCGGAAAATGTTGAAATAAGTGAAGCACACAATGAGGGCTGCTGGGGCATATAACATCATCACGATGAACAGGGTGAAGTAGGGGTCGGTGCGCCAGGACTCTGCACACCACTGAAACACATCTCCATGATATCCAGGTTTGCCCCAGTGGAAAAAGGAAGGCAGAAAGACCAGGATGGAATATAACCAAATCAGGAAAATACACAGGCGTAGTCTCCAGGGTGTAACCAGGGTGTTATAGGTTAAAGGTTTAGTGATGGCAATATATCTATCGATGCTGATACAGGCCAGAGAGGTCATGGAGACACTCTTCAGAACTGATACTATAAAACCAAACACCTGGCAAGTCAAGGACTCCTCTACTGGAAGCGGGTAGTGGAGGAGTGATAAAGAAGGAACCAGGCAGCTCACTCCAACCAACAGGTCAGCATATGCCATAGTCTGGATAAAATAACTTGTAGTGTGGTGGTTCAACAAAGGAGCACAGTGAAATACAAAAATCACAATGATGTTGCCAGAAATAATCAATACAGTTAGAAACACAATAATCAACACTTCCAAAAGGCAAAAATCGACAGTTTCCAAATAGCCAAATGCCAAGAGACAAAAAGGGTGGTTGCTCTGATTACCATCCAAGGTGGAGTTCATCTTGAGCTCAGGAGTAATCTCTCACTTCATGCTGCCGCTTGGCCGCTGCCAACAGTTCAAAGGAGCAGCTGCTGTCATTGCGGTCAGCTCTGTGTGTTTGTAATAATGCCCAAGGAGCCTCAGTCCCCAGGCTCACGATGGTGCTGCTCTGATGCATTGCCTGCAGTACAATCCCCCTTTAAATCCTTGGAATAGGGAGAGCCAGCAGCCGTCGTCTGGCCAGTCCCAGACGCGGCCATAGTATCAGGTTTACCATACACATAGTGCCAGGGGAGTAAAGCAAATTCTGGGTACAATGTCTTCAGGCCAATGAGGGTAGGGAGTAGGGGCAGAAGAGAAGGGAAGAAAATTAGGAGCTTCAGCAGGAGTTGTAATGAGTCTCCTCTGAACAGCTGATAGAAGAAAAGGAGAGAGCATTTTACATTATGCATCCCAATAAAAAAAAAATCAAAGAATCTGGCTAGCTCAGGCTATCATCCCTCCCACTCCATTCCACCCCACCCAGTACTACCCTCAGTAGCACCCCACATAACTAACTGGTCCTTACTGTACAGAGGAGGTGCAGCAACAGCAAGCTTTCATGATAAACAAAACAAAAAATAAAACGAGTCAATTGCAATCAGAACAATCTACCCCCATTTTCCCTTCATTGGAGCCTTTTAGGGGAGAAAAGGAAGTCTGCTTATTGGATTTCTAAAAACATTTTACCATAATTACCATGAATAAAATAACTTATTTTCTTGATTCCCGTGTAATATCTTGCCTCTTTGAAAACATTTCAACAGAATTTATCTGCCTAGCTCAATTTCAGAGTGTTACCTGTAATTCTGCATGCTGCAATCCAAACAAAAGCCACAAAACATCCTTAACAGAAAGCCTTGCAAAGCAGGAATGTGCCTCAGCCTGGTTTACTGCAGAACTGAGACGCGGAGGGAGGGGATAAAGGAGTAGGAGGGGAACTGGGGAGAGAGGGGGCTTGGGAAAGGGAAGCAGTGGGGGAGGGGAAAGAAAATGCCTGTGCAGGCACACACTCTGGCATCTTCAGCAGCTCATTCGGATTCATCACCAGAGAGGCACTCCCCGATTTCCAGACTGCACAGTGGGGGAATAACTGAACACGCCTGCAGTGCAGTGTTTCAAAGCTGTTTCCTCGTCTATCTGGAATCCCCCCTTTTGGTAGAGGAACATAACTCAAACTGCTAGTAAGGAGAAGGGGTAGTAACCCGAACAGAGAGCCAGCCAGGGGATTTAAATTGAAACACACTGCCAGAGGGGTAACGCTGAGAGAAAATTCCTATTTCCTTGTAGCATTTTCCCAAGGAACAAAGAGCAATGTTAAAGAATGAAAGTGTGTTAAGAGTGCAAGGCAACTGAGGAATCAATTCAGCAACACAAGAAGTTCTAGCTAAAAGGCTAAATATTCAGCATTAATTTTCTCTCATGATTCACTGGATATTGACCAATATTAAGAAAGATGACTAAAATAACAAGCAAACTTAAAAATCAAGAGAATTTTACCCTCGTGTACACACAAAAGAGGAATTTTATTATTCCTGTATTTTACACTACCTTAGTTTCAAGATTCCTCATCTTGCTTCTAGTTTGCTGAGACACAGTACACAAACATATAACAAAAGATGGAAAAGTAAAGGTACCGTTTCTACCAGGCTTGACAATTAGAGGAAGTTTCATGGTATAAATTAGTCTTTGTATCTCAGAATACACAATCTTGTTTGTGCCTACTTAAAACAATGCAAAGTGAGATTTTATTGTGGCTCTTCTGGTAATGTTATGAATGATGACAAATTTCAGCTAATTAGAAAATGTGTATTTTTAGTATCTTTTCCTCCAAGTGTCTCTGGATTTTCAATTCATCCTTCTCAATAAAGTTCCACAGACCCAGCAGAGTAGAAGAAAATAAACAAAAGTTGGTACTTGAAAGCATTCCAGAAGGTATGCATACCTGAGTGGAGATATATGTTATGTGATCCAATTTGCATTTTTTATTTGTTTCACACACATGCTTTCTCATTGCAGGCAAATGGGTAGCCATAACCAGAACTCAATTAATTACATTTCAAGATCTGAAGCACTACACTTATACAAAGGCAAGAAACTAAAAAACTTATTGAGAAGAAGCCTGATAGCCATTTTGGACACGTCTTACTGGAAAACATGGCAAAGTGTGGCATAGTAAAAGGACCAGTGGACTGAACACTCACCTAGTTCAAATCCTAGCTCTAATATTACTTAGCCTCTCTCAGACTCAGTTTTATCATCTGTAAAATGAGGATCATACTACCTATTTCATGGGATTGTTGTAAAATAAAGGAGACTTCCCAATATTTATCACATAGGGAGTATACAACTTTACTTTTTTCTCATGCAATTAAAATAACCTGTGCTTTCCTACCAATCATGTTGCATTGCTTGAGGCTAGGCTCCTGAATCTAAAGTGCCCTCTCTTACTGTGACTGCTCAGTCTAAGGCACACACAGTTACTATGATACTTTCTGAGGCCAGTGAAGGTACCTGAGAATGTGATATGGCATCAATTATTCCCTCTACACAAATGATTTCTCTGCCTGTGTCACCAGCCATAAATTCATCCCCAAGCTCCCTTTTCCATCTACAATTTGCCGGCTGTCACACAACTACAAGACCTAGATGTCCTCTTGAGATTTCAACCAGAGCACCCAAAATTAGTTTCCCCACCAAATAAGCCTGTCTTGTTTTTCCCAATGTTTTAGGCACTCAAGAATGAAACTTAGAAATCATTTTGACCACTCTCTCTCAATACACTGTTCTTAGGCACCATTTCCTGGAAATCTATTTCTACAACAGCTCTCAAATTCACTTCCTCTTCAGTTTTTACTACTTTACTTTAGGCCATCATTAAATATCATCTATACTTCTAATCTTACTCATTTTTCGAGTATATTTATTTCTGCCTGATTGAATATCCAGTACCATATACTTTATTACGGTACTCCACTGTTCAAGAAGAGTCAATGGCTCCCAATTGCCTTTCCAATCTGATACCACTATTCTACATCTCCCCAAACAACTTGAGCTCCAGCCAAACCATTCGCCATAGACTGTATTTTTGAACTCCCATTTTTGAGTGCTTAAGAAATATTAAATGAAAATAAGGAAGCTTTAGTTCAATAAATAGAAAAGGCATTTACCAAAGTCAGGAGTCCAGTCTTTTCCAACTCCTTGTGAATTTGGCCATGTAACTTACTGTCTCTACATCCCAGGTTACTCATGTTTAAAACTAGATGGTTATGCTGATAAAAATATATTACATTGGCTGATGACTTGAAAGAATTAAAAATGTAATAAAAGTGCAATAAAACTACAAGCTGTTATACTACCACCATTAGTACAATAATAGGTCTTCTAATTTTTTTTTATTTTAGTAAAACCAGTCTTTGGAACTGTAATCAAAATATTCATATAAAAACAAACAAAAAAACAACCCCCGATAGCCACACTTTATCAAATCAGTCGAGTTAAATGTTTTATTTTGAGAAAAAAACAAAATATTTATGAAAGGGGGCAGTAAATCTATGTCCTCACAAAGACCTATATATACATTTATTTCCTTTTAAAAAATAATGCAGTCTCATGATGTATTTGATTTTTATGAAAGAGAATAAATATTTCTGCATATACATGACTGGAAGGAAATTCATTAACTTTCAACTCTACTTTTCATTGATAGTTGGATTACAAGTGATTTTTTATTTTCTCCTTTATGGTTTTCTTTATTTTATAAATTTCCCAATTTCTATGTATTATTTAATGGGTTTGTCTTGTGTTTTGTTTTTAAAAAAACAGCCAAAATAATATATAACATGTCGCTTTGGGAAAGGTAACAAAAAAACCTGGCTGCAAGATTTTTTTTGGCCTTCACTCTATAAATCAAGTCACTCTTTTCTCCTCCTTTAAATTTAGTCTTTGAAGGAGCTAAGTCAAAAAACCTCTCCAAGGTAATTTTATATGTGAAATTTCAAAATATACAGCATGCATCTGGCAAAGAACCCAAGTCCAGAATAAATAACTTCCCAAAATTAGTAATATATATATATTTATATATATATATATATATATATTATATATATATAAATATAAATATAAATTACATATGAAAATAGTATGTACAAATCCTGCTGTCTTGGTCTGTTTGAGCTGCTACAACAAAATACCACAGACTGGATGACTTATAAACAGCAGGAATTTATTCCTCACAGTTCTGGAAGCTGGAAGTCCAAGATCGAGGCATCAGCACAGTTGGGTTCCTGTGAAGGCCCTCTTCTGGCTTGCAGGCTGCCAACTTCTTGCTGTGTCCTCACATGGTGGAATGTGGCAAGGGATCTTTCTAGAGCCTCTTTTATAAAGGCATTAATCCCTGTCATGGGGGATCTGCCCTCATGACCTAATCATATCCCAAAGGCCCCACCTCCTAATACCATTACCTTGGAGGTTAGGTTTCAACATATGAATTTTGAAAAACACAAATATTCAAAACATAGCATCTCCTATATTCAAAAATGTTCATAAGCAACTTTCTTCATAATAAGCCAAAAAATGGGGGGGAACCCCACAAACATCTATAATAGCAGAATAGACTTTTTAAAAGTGTGGTTTACTGATACAATGGAATACTCTCAGGGATTTTTAATAAATGAAAGCAAACAAAAAAACAGCTAATGAGACACTCAAAAAAATGACTGCATTTAAAGCAATACCAACTTGCATCAAATAACACTGTAGTGTAAAAAAAACAAAAACGTTTTTGCCAATATTATGATAATTAAATAATTTGTATTTTCTGATCACCTACCAGCAATTTAAACTAACATACACATCATTAGAGACCTTTTTAGGTTCTAGCCATGTGCATGATAATCAAAGTTTAATGTGAAATACAAAGCACATGACATCAGCATATGTAAAACAATCAAATGTATCAGGTTTGTTAATAGCTGATATTTTACACGTCATGTAATTATCAAATTCCTATTAAAAAAACAGACTTCCACATTTTCATGGAACCAGAAAAATAGAATACTTCATGTTTTTCAAATTATCTAGATGAATGGCCCCACCATTAAGAAATAATTTTTGGCCAAACATTTCAAAGGACTTCAAAAGAGGAACTAGAAAGACAGTTAGAACTGAGAATTATACATCCAAAATATGATTTTCCAATAAAGGAAAAAATCAACTTGCCAATTAACATGACTCTACATGTGACATACCCTCACTTCCATTCATACTATGAGCACAATGGTCTTCCATCTTTCCAGGCTTGGGGAGCTCTTTTCTGAAACCCATCTTAAATGTGATGTTCCTGATAATCTCCTGTTCTCCCAGGCTGAATTTATCACTTTTGATGGCTCCAACAGTGCTTTTTCAGACTATCATATGACATATGTCTATCACATGACAGTTATTTCTGTGTTTGATCTCCTCGCTCCAGCATTAGGGTTGTAATACAGGCACTCAATAGATGCTGGTTAAACAGTTATATCAACACTAGAGGCCTGGTGCATGGATTCATGCACATTGAAAGGAAATTAATTAGAAGGTGGCTGGTGGGGGCGGGACTGGGCCAGATGGGCTGGACAGGCCCTGGAGCCCGAAGGGCATCTGCAGAGTGAGTGGGATCCCTCCGACAGGTGGGGTCCCTCAGCCTGGCCTGCAGGGATCAGGCCGAAACGGGCAGTCCGACATCCCTCGAGGAGTCCCTGAGTGCGAGAGGGCGCTCTGCAAAGTTGCTGTCACTCAGCAGCTCCTGCGTAAGCGTGTGCCCCCTGATGGTCAGTGCACATCATACCTACTGGTTGGCCAGTCGCTTAGCCTTTTATATATATAGGTAGATAATGGAGGGGATTAGACTATTAGTTCTTGAAAGAAAACACATCTGACAAGAAATAAGATGATGAGAAGGAACACTAATATTTTGAGCAAATCAGTCTCATTTTCTGGTGTGGAAAGATCCAATTTCATGTTCAAATGCTGTACTTCCCTTAAAGTTTTTAAATAAAAATCTTATAGAGGT